GTCATTTCTGCATTGATTTCAAAGTATTAGAGATTAGGCATCCTTCAGTCTCAAAAGACTATGGTAACGTGCTCTGTATCGAGGACTTGGAACAGCATCTAGTGTGGCTGAGAAGGCCAATTCGAGAGTGATAATCCCTTCCACACTGAAGGCAAATACAATTTGTCCCCTGTCCAGCCCCCTGATTTTGCTGCTTTTGGGCCTGCCTCTTTGCCTCGGGCTGCTGGATAAGGGTCTCTTCAAAATGGGAGAGGCCATGCTGCATCGCCTGCATCCAGGCTGAATGCTCAGATGTCAAGTTTTCCCATCTGTTGAGGGCCATTCCTAAGGCCTTCAGATCCCGCTCGCAGATCTTGTATTGCAGCTGTGGTCTTTCTTTGGCAGTTTCCCTGCACTAATTCTCCATACAGGAGATCTTTTGGAATCCAACCATCAACCATTTTCATGACATGCCCAAGCCAACATAGACGTTGCTGTTTCAGTAATGTATACATGCTAAAAATTCCAACTCATTCTAGGACTACTCTATTTGGAACTTTGTCCTGCCAGGTGATACCAAAAATCCGTCAGAGACAATGCGTATAAAAGGTGTTCAGCTTCCTGGCCTGCCGTGCACAAAGGGTACAGGACTCACTGCAGTACAGGAGTGTACTCAGGACACAAGCTCTATAGACCTGGATCTTGGTATATGCCATCAGCTTCTTATTAAGCCATACTCTCTTTGTGAGTGTAGAGAACATGGTAGCTGCTTTGCCAGTGTATTTATCCAGCTCGACATCTAGGGTGAGAGTGTCAGAAAACGTTGAGCCAAGGTACACAAAGTCATAAACAACCTGCAATTCTTGTGTGGAGATAGTAATAGAGGGATGTGAGTCCACACCGTGGCCCATGACTTGTGTTTTCTTCAGGCTGAATGTTAATCCAAAGTCTTGGCAGGCCTTGCTAAAGCGATTCATGTGTTGTTGGAGGTATTCAGCAGAGTGATCAACAAGATTGCATTAAGACCTCAAAATCTAGTGGAATGCCTTCTCCCCCCTAGATCTACCTGAATCGCTCATTCTAGCCAGGATGGGCGGCTAAGGGGCCTAACGCCAAGGGAGGCCCAGAGAGAAAGAACAAGAAACCGGACCTTTTCAGCAGTGGCCCCTCACCTCTGGAACAGTCTGCCTCCAGAAATTTGTCTGGCTCCCTCGCTGGGTGCTTTTAAGAGCAAACTTAAGACATGGTTCTTTAGGCAGGCCTTCCCTCCAGTCATCATCTAATCTAGTTCTTGTCATCTTCAATTATATTAATTTTGTTTTATTTTATATTGTTATTATTTTATGGATTGTTGTTAGCTGCCCAAAGTAGACTTTGGTCTAGATGGGTGGGGTATAAATAAAATAAAATAAAATAAAATACTGTAGAATAGATAGATAGATAGATAGATAGATAGATAGATAGATAGATAGATAGATAGATAGATAGATAGATAGATAGATAGATAGATAGATAGATAGATAGATAGATAGATAGATAGATAGATAAACGTACTGAAAACAGTAGGAACAAAACTTTGTGTTTCTATCAGCCAGCTCCCCCAGTCCAGACTTATCTGAGGCCTGGAGTTTGTATTTTGGCAATGCCAACTGGGCTGCATACAGCTGCTGCTTTGGTGAGAAGGGCTTTGGGCCTCACAGCAGCGTAAAGAAATGGGAATATCTTGGATGATCCAATGGGAAACAGCCTGGAATTTGAAACAGTGAATCATAAGCTGTTGTTTAGCAGGAGACCGTGGTGAATTAGAGGCCACAGAACGTTATCAGTTTGGTAGGTTTAAAAAGAGATGCAGGAGCATTTCACCAGATAGTCTTTGTTGATCTTCTGGCCCCTTGTTTATCCATGGTTATCATTCCTTTCTTACCTGTTTTCAGTTTATAGCAGTAATGTGGGCAAGTTTAACTTCCTTGAGGCTTCTGGCATGATGATGATAAAAATAAAAATATGTGTTCTATGGCTGTTTGTTTATGCCTCTATAATATATTAAAATTATGAGGTAAAGATTCTGGTGGTTGGTGGGATCCATTTTATATATTAAGTAAAGGTTGTGTGTGTGGGGGGGGAAGGACAGATCATTATTTACCTATGCAAAAGCTGTTAAGTGGAGGCATCATTTATTCATACAGGTTGTTCATCTCTGCCCAAACTCAGTTTAGAGGAGAAGGAAGGGAGAAGGATGTCTGTTCTGCACGGCCAGTTGTGGTATTTCAGTACCTGAGACAGGAAATCCCCACAGATATAATTCCTCTTTCCTGGCAGTAAAAACAGAATACATACATAATAATGTGCTGTTTTTTTTGTGACTCCTCAAATCTGCTACCTGAAGCAAAGCTTGGAAAACAACTTTTTAAAAGAAACTTCGTGCTTTACTCAGTACTTAGAGATCAGGTACCTCACACATTATATCAGTTTCATAAAAATTGCTCATATTTCCACCATTGTATCCCTGAAAAATCCAGCAAAAATTATCTCCAGTTCCCTCCAAAACACCTGTGAAGCTCTCTCATCTCCACCAGCAAAAGCAACAATAGTAACCACACCAGTGAATTAAATAAATAATTTGCTAAACTTTCATGAAACTTAAAAATCTGCTGCCAGAAGTGGCAGGAGGGCAGGGGGGCAAGGAGGAAGAACATCCACCATCACCATTCACTTGCAATTTTCAGCAGCATATCACAAATGGTACATAGAGAAGCCATGAGTTCCAGCATAGGCCATTTTAAAACTGCACCAGTGGAACTAAAAGTATAAATATAATCTGTGTATATAATGCTTTACCAACTTCATTATTCTATGCATTGTGTGAACACCAGGGAAAAGATCACATGGGACCACTCACAAGCAGCCCAAATTATGAAGCATTTTCCTGTGTGATCACACCCTCAGTCTCTTGTATCAATTCCACATCTCCTTTTCTTTGTCCTCTATAACTGGCTTTGCCATTAATTGTCTGGTCACCACCTCACTCTCTCTCCTCCTGGTTTTATCCTGCTGTCTGTTTCCCTCACTATACTCTTCATCCACAAAGAGAAGCAGGCAAGGCAGGAGTACATACTGAGCCACATTTCCTCCTTTGCCCTCTTTCTTTCTTTCTTTCTTTCTTTCTTTCTTTCTTTCTTTCTTTCTTTCTTTCTTTCTTTCTTTCTTTCTTTCTTTCTTTCTTTCTTTCTTTCTTTCTTTCTTTCTTAAGAAAGACTACTGTATGAGAAACAAGTGCATATGACTGAGAGCAGGGAGCTTTTTAGGAAGAAAAGTCATGCTCCATCAATGCACAACCCATGTGCAGTTGCTACGCAGAGTCAGGGTGAGTGTGGTATGCACTGGACGTCCTCCACTCCCCAGCCCTGTAGTCACAGTAGCTTTGGCCACTATCAGTCTCAGCTTCAGCAGCTCTTATGCAGATTGGGACAAGGGGTTGTGTTTTAACTATGGAAACTGGCAAGAAGAGTAAGCTTCCTTGTCCTTCATGTCACGGCTTATCTTGGGCATTAAAGGATAATATTCTTTGCTTTTACAAGATAATGTCACTCACTTTCCCAGCTGGGCTATAACTTAAAAATTGTTATGCTGTATCTCTGTAAGCTCAGCTGATAAAAGTGCTTGTTAGCTATGAATACAGGCCTTCTCTCCCTGTTGAAAGAAGGGGCACTGTCTGCTCTTTCTCTGCACCCAACTTCTAGTAGATTCTAGTATGCACAGAGACCCATGGTATAAAAGTCTTCTGCTTGAGGCAAGGAATGCGCACTTTGGCCAAGCAGCAGATATGTCTTAGGGAATGCTTGCTGAACTGTGGAAGCACAGCCAGCTGGATGAGATGAGCTAAGCTTTCCCTGTAATGCTAAATTACCGCATACCTATTTGAAATTAATGCCGTAGCATCAGAGCCCTCATTGGCAATTCTGACAGCTGGGGCAAGCAGAATAAAATTCACCCTTAGATCATCTGCTCCCCCTGAACACCTTACCTTACCTTGCCAGTGTAGTCCTGGCATTTCCACCATTGTGCAGAAGGAGAAGGTGGTGCAGCAATGGAAAGAGTGACATCTAATGGCTACTGAATGCTTTGGTTCCTTTGGCATGCAATAAACCAGAAATTAGGAAGGTTATATTTTGCACTGCAGCTCATAGAACCACCCAGTCAACATAAATTGTGATCCAAAAAGTAATGCTGTCCAAGTGCTTCCTTTTTGAAACACCTTACTTTCCTCAGGTATCTGAGGTATTGCTATTTTTGCAAAGCAATGTAACAATTTCCTATTTCCCCCTGCACAGTCAGTAATGGTTATCAATTACATCTAAAACATGAGGTCTCTGGGTAATTTAGTCATTTGGGGTCATATTTATGTTTTTAATTGTTTTTAAAAATGTTAAATGACAAAAAATGTTCTAGTAATTATCATGATATTCTTAAAGTAGTGTGAGACTAAAATCAAAAAAAGCAAAGGCTAGTGCTAATATATTAGTTCTAATGCTAAAATTCCAGATTGAGCCTATGGTGTGAGCTATTATTGAAAAGAACAGGCCCCAATTTGATTAAAGACAGAACCTTCTTGGGATAATGAATGCCAAATAAGTACTTATGTCAATGCTGAAAGGGATGTGGGAATGATCAAAGCTTTCAATTTTGAAGTTGAAATTGGAAATTCTGAATAATGTTTACTGCTATTGATGTCCACGGTTGATTTTCAAAGAAATATAATGCATGTAAATGAAATAATTTACTGCTGGGCATCCTGAAGAAGAAAAATATATATTTAAAGTTAAGAAGAGGATAGCTACAAGACTTGTGCACTACTTTTCTAACTACCATTTACTTAGAAGTAAGTCTCATTCTATTCATAGCGCTTACTTCCAATTAACAATGCCTAGGGTTGGAGCCTTCATGCCTTTTATCCTAAAACAGTGGTGGGGTGGCATACTTCATAATGCAGATGTTTCAAATTCTTTATGTTTCTATCAAAGACAGCCCAAGTTTACACACCACCAGCTGTGGAAGGTAAAGCGCCAGGCCCACCACTGAGCCCCCAACCCATTGTGCCCAGTGCTACCAAAGAAGTAAGTAGGGTCCCATGTGCTCCCGGAATTAAAGAACTCACTCTCTCCACAGAGCCATTTATTTTTCTTTGATATTTGTTCCAAGGGGAGGTTCTTGGGAAAGATGTCCTCTGAAACATCAATTCCCACCTTGTCCTGTTTGAAGGGATGTCTAGCTGAAGTCCACTTTCAAGATGAAGAACCCAAACACATGCTCACACATTTTGCTGCCTGAGGCAAGAGAAACATGGCATCCCTTTTATATACAGAAGGAGTCAAGACTACAACCAACAGGACACTGTTTTCTGGCATGACCGTAGCCAACAGGCCACACAACACATACCTCAGAGGTAAGAACTTTGAGGTCCCCATCACCCTAGGTGGGGGTTCATAGAGGACACAAGAGAAGGCCTTCTCAGTGGCTGCTCCCAAGATGTGGACAGCTCCTGAGGGAGGCCAGTCTCTGACTCTCCCTGTGTTCTTTTCACTGGCAGGCAAAGATCTTAACATTTAAGTAGCCATTTAGTAACTGACTAGTTGCTAAGAATAGGTATTTTAATGATTCGGTGCCATACATTTTTTAAAATTTTTAAACTAGACTAAACTAAACTAAATAAAGTACTGTGTAGATTTATTATCACTGTTATAATAAGTAACAAAAATATATTGCATAAAGACTTGAGTACCATAAAGATATCTGCTGCAGGAATGGAAATAGCTGAAGAATAGAAGGCTGACACAAACCTACATTGAACTGCCTTAATCAACAGAATTTGGGAAAAAGTCATGACTAAGCTCAGATTTGACACCGGCTTGAATGAGAGAGAGATATTTACTGAACTCTGATATCCTTTTGTTTTTCTTGCACTAGACAGATGGAGTGGTGGCATCCCCTAATGTATCATATTTAATTTTGGAAAGGTGTTTGTTAAAAGACATGTGCTTAAAGAACTGACTTGAGGCATCAACCAACTAATCAGCAGCACTACATTTTGTTTTAACTTGATACAGATTAAACTGGAAAGACCACACCATGACTGACACCTTCTAAAAACTAATGTACATCTATTGTTTATCACACATGATTTTATAAATTTAATAAAATTTAAGAAACAAAAACCAATGTGTTTAATCTGTGATGAAATTAAGCATGTTTTAATTTGGCATGCTTTACTTGCTTATTATTCAATGGCATTTTAATACTACACTTCAATTGTATTTTACCATTATAAGCTTATTATGCTTTCATTTGCCCCTGTTTTTCATCAGGCTTAGAGCCACCTTGAGACCCAGGTCTGAGAGAAAGGCAGAATATGAGTGAATTGGTCAAAAAAGCAAAAGAACAACTGCTGTCTGAGATGGCTGCCTCACTTCATTTAATGGTAGGGCCTGCCCTGCAGTCCAGATAACCCAGAAATCATTTAAATTGTTATTAAAATGCATTGCAGAAGACGGAGAAGTGGAATGGATGTACTCAACCAGCACAGAGCAATCAGTTGTTGAAGCAGACAGGCTTAGCATAAACTATGTGGATTCTGAAGGCTCAAATCACCCGTACAGAATTCTTGTCAAGGAAGAGCACTGTTTCTTTTGACATTCATCACTAACTGTCCAGAAGCAGGCATTTCATTTAAAAGAGAGGACATCAAACTTCACAATTATCAAGCAACCTTTTTTTTCTTCTAGTCTTGTGGGGGAAAAAAAACCAACAAGAAAATTCCAGCAAGCCTACAACTTTAGGCGAAGAAGACCTGGCTATTTCTTTTGTTCTAAACTTTCACAGAACAATGACTTGTCAGGGATGGTGGTTTCTCCAGCTGTGTGTGAGTCATCCTCTACCACTTCAGGTTGCCAGTTCTCACAGCACTGGCTGAGGTCTCAGGGAATAGCTCTGCTTCTTTGGTTCTCCAAGCAGGAAGGCAAATCTCGGGGCAGGTTGTGCTATATGAGAAAAAAAAATTGTTTTTGTGTGTGAAGTACTTTTTAAGTCTCGACACCCATTCCCACTGCAGGATCTCACTTCCTTGAGTCAGAACATATGAAGGACCTGTTCTAGAACTGGCCCTCCCATTAATCAGACAACCACCTAAGGTGGCAAAGTCCTAGGAAAAGTAAACATGTTGCTTCTCTCCCCTTTCCTCAAGAGTCTCTGGTATTTTGGAGTGCTATCAATCCTTTAGGCAGCTTTGCAGAAGCTGTCATCTTCAAAATGCAAGGCTCTAAGGATCCTTCTGAGCCAAGCATTGAGAAAACATTCAGCTCTGTGGAGAGCAGCACACTCTGTGAGATAGGAGAGCAAACACAAGGGAAAAACAGGGGGAGGGAAGTGGAAGAGGGGGAAGCAGCAGTAGAGGGAAGCAGATGAGGCAGCGGGAATGTAATGAGGTGGCAGATCTTTTCTTTCAACCTAAACCAGCAGAAGAACTTGGGATGCCCTTCAGCCATAACATGTACCATCCTCATGTGGCAGAAATTCAAATCTATCTGGAGCAAATTGATGTGATTTATGTCTGAATTTTGTTGCAGATTTTTTAATTTTGGTAAAAAAACCAAACCTCTAGCTGCACAGCAGAAGTGCAGGAACTCATAAAGTGGAATTAGTCGATTACCCTTTTTGTCTCATCAACTGGTGTTTACAGTCTCAATAACTCACACTGAGACATTGGTAAGAGAAAGAATAAAAAAGTTTCATTTACTCACAGTTCTGAACAAATAAAAAACAGCATACTGTAAATAAATGACTGCTTACAGACTTTCAGCAACAGACCTCAACTGACTAACAACCTGCTTCTAGCAGATTGCTGCAGGTAACATTCACATAACTGCACACTGACTGCATGCTAACTGCCAGCATAATAAAAAGAGAGGGGAAAAGACACAAGCGAAGAAGTGTGACTGTCTTCAAAATCAGAGGCAGAGAAGGACTGATTGGTTACTGCTGGACTGATTGAAAGTCACCCCAACCCAGAAAGGTCCCTCCCAGCCAAACCTACTGAAGGCACTATACAACTCCAACATTGTACTTTGTTGCCACCTCATGCCCTTAACATTGCCTTTCATAAAATGAAAGTCAAAAAAATCTGTCCTGAACTGGATTTTATCCCCTGAGCTGAAAAGAGTTCCCCACACCTGAATTAAAATAAAAATGCAATACTACTCACTATGCCATAATGGAGAAGATTTTATCTAGGTAATCTGTGGTCAGTCTGTTATCCAGGTGCTAAGTGCTCTGATGCTACTTTTGTTCTCAAAGTTCTTCACTTTAAAGTGGTCTTGGACTGGACTCTACCTTTAAGTTGAGTAGAGATGGGGAGCTGTGTTCCTCTTGTTATTGAATTACAACTTTCTTCAGACCTAACTAGCATAGTCAGTAGTAAGGTACTCTGGGAGCTACAGTCCAGTAGCATCTGCAGGGCCACTAGCTGAAATAGAGGACGCTGTCAAACATAAGACTGTCCACTGATAGCCCTTCAAATAGACAACTGTCCTCTATAAGGCAGGACACATGGCCACCATACATATCAACCAAGTTATTCCAAAATTGTAGCATATGTCAAGAGTTGCCTCGAACTGATCATCACGGTTTCATTTGTGGCACATTCAAAATTCTGGTGTCATGATATTTCAGGTTTATCTCTTGAGGTATCCAAGTGCACCCATGACCCGTCATGTGATATGATTAACAGGATACATGTTTGAAAGCTGTGGGCTTGAAAGGAACTGTGAAAGGTGGAAACGAGCATGAGATATGTTCCAATGGTGCAAACACATAGCATTCAAAGAAAAAAAATCATCTGAATGTGACTGGATAGATATCCTCCAACAAGCTGAAAAGAAGATATTTAATAGTGAGATGGGGGTGGTGAGCATGTCGGCTGTTTTTGTCCTGTTTTTGTCTTTGCCTTGAGACTCAGTAATAAAAAGGGTGACAAGCTTTAAGAACGATCACCCTATTTCTTACAGACCTGTCACTGAGAATCACCTTTCCATGTGAATGACCAAAACAATTACAGAATGAGAGGGTTGCCAAAAAGAATAAAAAAAAATGGTCTTTAAAAAAAGCAGTCTTATAAAACTGCTTTTTAACCTGCTTCCATATTATATTGAACTGAAGGACATGCTGAAATCCTGCCAGGCAAAGATTCCTTGTCCGGACGACTTAGGCCTTTTTCTGCACCTGAACCATAAAAAGCTCCCCATTTTGAGGTGGTATGTATATGAATTGGGGAAGGGAAGCATTGACTCTTCTCCCCACATCTCCCACTCATCATTGTGAGTGTCTCCAGTATTCCCAAGGCTGACAGCAACCAGCCTAGCCACCTCATTGATCTTATGTTCTATTTCTGTGTCCTTTCCTATAGGGAGTTGTCAGCTAGAGGCCAAAAGCAAGATAGCCAGAGACTGAAGAAACTAATTGTTTTTTCACATCCCAGATCGCTGCATAAGTGGGAGTCCCTGTTCATTCCCCACCAAGAAAGAGGAAGGAACTGTGCTGTTGTGAGGGCAGCTTGATGGGCTGAAGGATATTGGAGCTTTTGAGATCCCACAGGTTAACCAGGGGCCAGCCTTGCCCTTATGGGGTGAGATTGGGGGCAGAATTGAACCAGTAACAAACCTGCTGCATCACCCATCCTCTTTCCCTTAGTGTTGTTTTCCCCCAATGGGACCCTTATATAGGATCTTGAGGAGTAAAGCTTATAGGCTTCAGGTTGGCTCGGAGGCTGTGAAGCTCAATTACAATTGTCTGCTAAGGCACAGGAAATTAGTGGCCAAAGATAAAGTAAGTAAGTAGAAAAAAGTGTCAGTGGATCACTGACATAAAAAGGGGCTTCCATGAACAAGGTGTCACCCCTACAAAAACTCTCTAGTCGCAGCTAGCTGAGGTATGTGTGTGTATGTGTCAGAGAGAAAGAACCTACACAACATAGTTACAACAATTTGATAGCCGTTCAACTGTCGTGGCTCCATCCTGTTGATACATGAAAAGAATTCTAAGCACCTCACCAAACTACACACCTTTGGATTTCATCGGATGAAGCCACAACAGTTAGGGTGGTGTAAGATTATCATAACTGCATAATAGAGAGAGGAGGGAGAGAGAATTAAACTTAGAATGTACAGTATGTTTGGCAATAAAAGACTGTCTATTTATCTGTCTGTTGGGAACGTTCAAAGAATGCTCTGATCACAAATGAAAGAAGAAAATGCCTAAGCTGAGTTTCAGTTGAACATTAAAAAGACAAACATCATGATTACTGTAGAACGATACAACTTATGTGTTAAAGACATGACTGTGTAGTAAGAACAAAAGGGAATGGACAAAACTCTATTAGTTCAACCAGCATAAGTTCAATGGTGCACCAGGAGAAGATTCCAGATGAACCATCTGGAAGTCACTTAATGGACTCCAAAGCAGGGGTAGGAAAATTGAATAAACAAGTAAAACGGGGATACTTGGATACAGAACAAATTTTCTGTGACTTTGGAGAAATTAAATCAATGCAGCTTTTACCTGCATGCAATTTATGCCCCACCATGTCCACAAAAGATCTAGCAAAAGATCAGTATAATGCTATTGAAGTAGCCTGTTTCTAGTCAAAAACAATTTAATACAGTATTTTAAAGAGCCTGTTTCTAGTCAAAAACAATTTAATATTTTAAATATTTTAATTGGTTTTTAATTTTACCTATATTTCATCTACGCCCATCATTCTGCAGTACTCTGATATGAATAAAGAAACTCCAATGCAATGGTATAAACCTGCTGCAGCAGATTTCTGCTAGTTAACCAGTCTTTGATTTCATCCCAATGGTGAGCCAGTTGTATGGGCTAGTGCACCATGAGAGATACAAGCTGCAATTTATTTACTGCTGAGACATATGCCACTGCACTTACTCCTAAGTAACTAACTAATCAGATTATGGATGAAATTTCATCCTGTGCCAGTGAACATAATAAAACAGCAAAATTGGGTTCTTTGGAGAAATGTCATGTCAAATTATCTGTGTTTTGCTGGCAGTTGGTGCTGCTGAAAGCAAAGCAAGAAGGAAACAAAAAAATCAACAAACTTTCAGACAGAGGTAATTTATTCTTTCACGCAAATATTTACCTGAGAAAAAAGAAATTTCATAGGTTTCATAAATTGTTGTCTTCCAACACGCACTGGCAAATGCAAAGCTTCTTCTCCCAGGTTCCTGTATTAGCAGAAGCATGAAGTTGCTCCCATGAAGCGACAAATAACAAAGTTATTTTAAAAAAAACATCGCCCCCACCCCCTGCTGCCACCCTCACACCCATTGCCCCCTCGCCTTAAGGGAATCCAGGCTGCCTTTTGCAAAGATGGCAGCTGCAGCTTCCCTACCCTAAATGAAGCCACAGCCACCATCTTTGCAAAGGGCAGCCAGTCTCCCTTTTTACACACTGTGGCTGGGAGGCCAGATGGATACCTCAGCAGCAATAATGGTAAGGGGGTGTTGCTGGGGGTGGCTAAGGTAGGGAGAGTAAGGGTGTGGAGGTAGGCTGTGGTCGGTGGTGGCTGTGGGGGAGGGGTGGCTGCCTATTGGCCACCAATCAGCTGATCGGCGGCCAGTAGGCAGAATGGGTTTAAAAATAAAAATACGAAGGACGAATAAAAATGGGTAAATATTCATCCCTTTGTATTCGTAGAGGGGGGTGTCTCTGGAACCCATGAATATGAAGGGACAAATATTTAATGAATCGGCTATTTTTGTCAAAAAAGCCGATCTTTTTTTATATTCGTCCCCATCTCTACTAACTACCTGAAGTTTCTGTCATCCAGGGGGAACAACCTTGAAGTTAAGAGTAGTCATTACTATTGCTGTGACAAAAATGCATGCTTCCTGATGGAATAAAAAGGCAGCCACTGATTAAGAAGAACAAACCTTCCATAATTTTTTGTAACGAGCCCATATGGTTGTTATCGCAAGGACAGCTGGAAGTAGAACTGTGAAAATGTTAAGCGTTTATTAAGGTCCACACTGCATGCAAAACAATTTGCTGAAGAGCTACAGTTTTGTCTTCTCATTCTTACGTGTTGCATAACAGTTAACAAGTGTTACACAGGTGTTATGTTTTATTTCCTTTCATATCTCGTTTCTGTATCTGAAACAACTCCTGGTGAAAGTGAAAGAAGAAAGTGCCAAAACAGGAGTGCAGCTGAACATTAAGAAGACAATCATCATCATCATGACTACAGAAGAACTGCATTGCTTTAATGTTGACAATGAAGATATTGAATTTGTTAAAGATTTGTTCAATCATCAATCAAAATGGAGACTGCAGCCAAGAAATCAGAAGAAAACTAAGACTCAGAAGGGCAGCAATTAAGGAAAACTAGAAAATATCATCAATTGTGAGGATGTATCGCTGCAGTCCAAGACCAAGACGAAGATCATCCGCACTGTTGTATTCACAATCACCTTGTAAGGGTATAAAAGCTAGATAGTAAAGAAAATTGACAGAGTAAAAAAGGATTGATCTGAAATATGGTGGTGGAGGAGAGCTTTGGAGATACCCTAGACTGGTGCTGGAGGAGAGCTTTGGAGATACCCTAGACCACCAGAAAGTGCGTCCTAGAGCAAATCAAACCTGAACAATCTGTGGAGATAAAAATGATGAAACTGAGGCTGTCATATTTGTTGAATATGAAGACAGAAAATGTTGGAGATTGCTCACACATAGAAAATAAAATGATGAAACTGAGGCTGTCATACTTGTTGAATATGAGACTGCTAAGGACAGAAAATGTTGGAGATTGCTCATACATATGGTAGCCATAAATTAAAGATGACTTGATAGCAAACAACAGCATATCTCGGGGGGACACAACATCACATGGTCAAGGGATCCCCACCAATATCACCACTTTGAATTGCATTTTAAAGATAAAATGATGAAACTGAGGCTGTCATACTTGTTGAATATGAGACTGCTAAGGACAGAAAATGTTGGAGATTGCTCATACATATGGTAGCCATAAATTAAAGATGACTTGATAGCAAACAACAGCATATCTCGGGGGGACACAACATCACATGGTCAAGGGATCCCCACCAATATCACCACTTTGAATTGCATTTTAAAGATCTCAGGATGACTATCGCTTATGTTATTAATATTTGGACTATTTTAAGATCGTCTGAAAGAAGCAATTTCATACAATAGTTTAAGGTCCCTCATGTGAAAAGCACAAATATTTTTTTCCACAACTTGTGTGTTATCGTGTTGGCGTAAGAAGAGTCAATGTAAAGCAAAATGAAGGAAACATGTGGCCCACAGAGGTTACTGGACTCTTATTCCCATAATCCTCACAAAGCATGAGGATTGTGGGAGATGTAGTTCAATAACACTCTTGGCAAAGGCTATACTGTGTAATCTTCAGAATGTCTTGAGAATGTTGTGTTTTTTTCTAGTTTGGCCACTTTTTAGATGTGTTGAACTATAACCACCACCATCCCCAAACAGTGGTGTTTGGGGATGACTATAACCACCACCATCCCCAAACAGTGGGGCAGATGCTAAAAGCTGAAGTCCAATACATCTGCAGGATGTCCAGCTAGAAGAGGCTGTCCTGTAGGATAGTAGGGCCCAATCTGTTTTGACAAATAGCCATCCTGTTTTTGGGCCTGTGACAGTCATTTATTTCTATCAAAATCTGTCTTATTGAGAACAGCTTCTTCTTCCAGCATGAGACACAAGGAGGGCAACAAAGAGTTCCCACTGTGAGAAAATGCTGTGCAGAATACCACACAGGGGAAATTGGAGTTAATGGGGAAGAGGAGAGACAATAACATACTAACATCCATTCTATACCTATTGCCATATCAAAATTTCAAATTATTCTATTTACTCTTTTCTGCCTTCTAGGTTTAAGTTCTCATTTCAATACATGCTATTCATACGCTGCCTGTTGATACAGTCCACTTGTTGAATAAATCCCATCTTTCTGTTGCCTTTTGCAAGGGACAGTCCTTCATCATTTCTGATAGAATATCCATTTCTGCTATTTCCTGTATATGTTCAATAAGGTCTTCTTGATTCGATACCATCGGACTTTTTAGCATATAGAATTCTGGCTGCAGTAACAATATATATATCTATATATTCCTTTGACTTGTCTATATTGTCAGGTATAATTCTCAGTAGAAACAGTTCTGGAGTTAATGGCACCTTACAGAGCAATATTTGTAGCAACATGGCCTGTACTCTTTTCCAATATTGTTTCGCTACTCTACATGACCACCACATATGATAATAGCTTCCCACTTGTGCTTCACATTTCCAACACTCATTTGATACATCTGTATACATCTTTGACAATTTTTCTGGGGTCATGTACCACCTATAAAACATCTTATATATATTCTCCTTAAAATTAACTAATCTTGTAAGCTTTATGTTACTTTGCCATATTTTCAGCCATTGATCAATATCAATATTATGCCCTATATTTTGTGCCCACTTAATAGCAGTTTAAATCGCTGTCTTGCAAAGCTTAGGTCCCAAAAACACCTGTTTTGCGAGCGCGGATGGAGCTGTCAAAATCATAGTCTAGCGAAAATTGGTTTGCGAAGCAGGGACTAAACACTGTCCAGCGAAATTCCCCCATAGGAATCACTGTTGTGCGAATCACTATAGCAATCGCAAAAAGTCAAAGTCTAGCAAAAAAACTGTCATGTGGGGGAACTGTCTAGCGAGGCACCACTGTAGTTTCTCAAAGTATATTTCTGGCTGGGGACTCGACCTGACCAAGAGACTTTATGAAATATCTACAATATATTGGTAGTACTGTATCCGGCTTTCTGACCGGAAGCTGATGTGTGTAAGCCCTGCGTAGCTTGGGGAACGTGCAGCCCACATTGTCCTGTTGTAACAACCATCCAGCTGCACAAAGGGAGGTTCTCTCTTGTCCCACCTTTGGCCGAGGTGCAACTCAAGGTCCTTGCTGTCTGAGGCAAAGGACACAGGGATTGTGTTCCCATTCTATCTGTAGGAGTGATGTGAACTGGCAGCCAAACGCAACTTCAGCAAGGGTGACAGGGACATTTAGGGAGGTGTAAGGCAGGCTGTGTGGCACTCTGTCCTCCATGAGAAGAGAGTGATTAGGGTGCTCAGGAAGAATAGCCGCAGGGCTTCTGCTACTGCTGTTGCTGCCGCTTCCTCCAGCAGCACCTGAGGCGATCACCTCATGCTGCTGCCGGAATTCATCACACCAGGCAGGTCTGAAAGCACCACTCACTCTGTGGCCCAGCTACCCAAGGCCATGCACCCCATAGGTGGGGCATCTTCTATCCCCATCTTCTCTCTGGGACCCTTTCTCAATAGGCAAGCTTTGTCCATGTAATCTGCTTTCCGGACCAGTCTCTTCTGGGGTTTTTTTGCGTGGAGTTTGCGTTCTGGCTGATTCCCAGGGCCGGGAGCTTTCCTCTCACAGCAATTCTCTCCGGCGGCCTGCCAAAGAGACCCCCCTTCACCCAGAGAGGTGTGAACCGAGTTGCGGTTTTAAGTGTTCCTGCTTTACAGACGCTCGATCCGCAACCCTTGAAACAAACCAAGCCCTCCACTCTGAAGAGGAAATCGCTTGCTGAGTCTGCTGCTCGGAGGGGATGACGCGAGGATTTTTTTAAAGAACACCTGCCAGTCAAAGATCCTGACCAATCGATGCAGCCTTAGGGGCGGGGATTGAAACACACACACTGAAAGTTGCCCAGAGGCTGCCAAAAGCATCTCTCCCGGTGTGTGTGTGTTTAACCGTAGTTGCTTTCTCTCACGACTGCAGAGCGGGCAGCTTCCGTGGTGCATCCCGTGTGGCCGGCAATCTGTGGTGAGAGGAAATTCAGGGGGCCACGCTGCCAGAAGCTGTGACAGAAGAGCCCCCAGAAGCAACCCACAGTGAGAAGATGATGGCATGTACAGAGATGCTGACTATGTGCTTGCTTTCTGGCAAGCATGCTTACAGCCTCAAATCCCCAGAGAGCCCACAGCACTGTGGCAAAGGACTAGCAATTTTCCACGATGTAAGTAGCAACACGGTGCATGTATGCCCGGTTTTGTGAATAGCGTGGTCCGGAGGTCTTGAAAGAGAAACAGTATCTCTGTCTGTTCAAAGGAACCTCCGTTGTTTGTTTTTTTCAGAGTCAGTTCATGGACTAGAATGGGGGCACCAAGTCTCAGAATTTCAGGGGTGTGTCAGTTGGTCACGAGCTACCTATGTATTCCCATGTCAAGTTTTTGAAATGTTATGTCTTGTTGTGTTCAGTTCACCTCAAGTATGCATGGCACTCCGTTTTTGAAAACTAACTAAAGTGTCTCTTCACAAAACCCTTTATGTTACTACAGTACTCTCTTCCAGACAAATGTGTATCCATGAGCATATGGAACATAGTCTTTGAGAGCTGGGAGTGGAGTGGGGGGGAAGACACAAGTGTGCCATCATGTGCAGAATTCACATGGGATCTGAACTGGGTTCATCCATTTTGCCCCTCTGCCAACACATGCTGTGGTCCTGGGCAAACTGTGGTTTCAGTCAGCTTCCTCTGTCGAAAAGCAGAGAGGCTGGCTAGATCGCAGAAGCATCTCGGTGCCATTCATTTTCTCCTGCCCCAGAATTGATTTCTCTGTGTTTCTTCCTCCCAGGATTGTGACTTTAGATAGCTTATTTTAAAATTTTAAAAACAGTTGAATGTGCAAGTCTTTATCTGTGTGCCCATTAGTAGATTAGGCAGTATATGCTCAAAAGGGGAGGACCATGACAGAAAGACATGAACTCCAAAAATGTAGGAATAATTCAGCTGCTCAAGTGACCAACATAGCTAAGTGAATGACCTTATTGTTTGAATAGTGCAAACTGAATGCTATGTGGTTGTATCTGAAAAGGTACAGTAATCAAACAATGACAGGGAAAGCTTAGAGCACAAGAGCTGTGTCTGGGGAAATCATGACTTGAGTTTCCAGAGGAGTATTCAGATTAGTTTGTTGCAGGAAAAACAACACCTCAGTACACGTATAGTGGGTAGCATAAGCTTTTCCTGGACCAGACCCCACTGTGATGTAATGGAGTGTAACTACTTAACAAAAGATGGAGTATTTATAAGCAAGAGGGGAAAAAAAAACAGGGAGCTGAATATTTAACACTCCCATTCACATAATTACCAGTAGCAAGTTAGATTAGCAAAGTGTGAAGGAAGAGTTAATAGAATTAGAAGTGCATGGAAAGCAAGCGCTGGTGCCACTAGAGCTCGCAGAGAGAAGTCCAAAAATCCACTTAGCTGAATGAAAGCGAGAGCAAGACTGGCTTTTACTAGATTTTGAAGCAAGTGAAGTAATAATACACTCTGCAATATAAAATGGGAGGGAGGTTGTTGTAAGGCTACAATTTAGAAATGACCCGACTGCAGCAGTAAAAGCAAAGGTACATTTTCAAATTTGCTCACTGGCATGGAGGTTGCTATCATGTAACAGCCTGTGAGCTCCCATCATACCTCAAGGGCTACATTTTCCCTGCCAGTTACTCACCACAATGAGCTGTTAGATGTACTGTTGTGGATATTGTTGAGGACTGTGTAGCATTTAGAATATAATTCAAAGCACTGTGCATTATACTATTGAGATGAGGTACTTAGAGAATCTGGATATATTTATCAGGTGGTTGTTTTTTTTAATGGCTTGCATTAATACAAAAGTCCATCCCCACAAAAAAGAATCTAACAATACAGGTGGTTGTTTTTTTTAATGGCTTGCATTAATTAATACAAAGGTCCATCCCCACAAAAAGAATCTAACAATGTAAAAATGTCACGAACATCAACTATGGATCCCTACTTCCCTGTGGACTCCATTGGCATACAAGACTGAAAGACAAGTTGATATTCATATGAATTTTTATTTTTGCAAGTGGAGGGAAATCAAAACACTCATTTACCTAGATTTACTTTTTATTTTCAGTTCAAGATTTGTCTTTTATCTGACAAAATTGCTCTCAAACACCAGAGCAGGGCCATTACAGTTTTCTACTTTGCAAGGAAATTCTAACTCATTTATCTGAGGCAAAATCCCTCTTTACACAATTATTGTCCCATGCGCATGAGAGTGGAACCACAGGGGGGATCTTTGTACATTGACTATTTATTTAAAGTATTTATGATGCTTCATTCAAAAGATGTAGAGATATTGCTCTGCCTGAAAAACAGCTAAACCCAGTTTGCAGCAGGTTCATCCATGCACAGATATATGTTTAACACTATTTGGTATTGCTTTATTATCTGTGCCCTGAATAACAGTCACAAGGCTACTGAGCCTCAAAGCAGGATATAACTAACTATGGTGCAGCCCTTCTTAAGAGGAATATAAGTTTTCTCTTGCAGATTGATTGTCTTTTTGCATTATTGAAACATTTTTCGTTAGTTGCTGTGTTTAAGTAGTGTTTTTGCTATGCCTTTGTTTTTTCTGTCTTTGTTAAAATGGAATCTTGCAAATAACAAATTTCCATGTCCAAAGGGGATTATATTAAATTGTGTTATAACAATGGAATGTTCTTTCAAAACAAAACAACAACACACAATTAATACCAAACCATGATACAGGCCTGACTGCTGGTCAAAAACCCATCCAGACTGGAATCCCTCCTGATTTTCTTTGAGATGCGGGAGCAGAGAATGCCATAACCCACCTAACCTCTCTAGATGATGGGACATTCAGCAGGGCCTCTGCTGAAGATGCCAAATTACAGTATAGCAGTGCCTCGCATTATAATGTTAATTCGTTCCAGCGAAATCGCTGTAGAACGAAAACATCATAAAGCGAAATTTAAAAGCCCATAGAAACACATTAAAACCTGTTTAATGCATTCCGATGGGAAGCGAAATTTAAAAGCCCATAGAAACACATATAGGGCGGCCATTTTCACTGCCTGTCTTGCGAGGAATCCATCCCTAAACACAGCGGGGAGCCATTTTATTTACCCGGTGGCCATTTTGAAACTGGCAATCAGTTGTTGGAAAATCGTCGTTTTGCGAAGAATTGGTTCCCGAAGCAGGGAACCAATCATCGCAAAGCGAAATTCCCCCATAGGAAACATCGTTTTGCGATCGTAAAAGCAATTGCAAAAAGTTCATCGTAATGCGATTTTGTCATTAAATGAAGAGATTGTAATGCGAGGCACCACTGTAGATATATAAGAAGGTAGTTTTATAAGTTTCCTGACCTGAAGGTTTTTAGCTGAACATACTTAGAATCTTCTCTGCAATCAGGAACTCTGATTATACAGAGTTCCCACTTGTGTGGAGGACTCTAAATAAGTCCAGCTGAATGTACAAAGACTCTCTCTTTACCCTCAATGCACAAAGGGAGATGGTAGAGGCTCTCTTCTTTGCGACTGGGGTTTGCAGCCAGAATAAAGCTAGTAGCAGGACCTTGCTCCAGTATTGGCACATTCTCTGGTTTTGTTCTGGAATAACTTCTAAAATGCAATCAGTGTTCTTTATTCTTTAGTGGATAGTAGTGGGAAAAAGTATGCCTGAAAGAGGTTTTATTATTTGTTTTGCCAGTAGCCCTTGTAGTTTTAAGATTTTAACACAAAGAGAAACAGTAAATGGAGAGTGAAAAGTAGTTCCCCTCTTCCTTTGCAGTTATGTTTGAAATTATTTTAAATTTCACCATATAGGAAATATCTACCAGATTTGATTTTAATGTCTATAGTGCATCACAATTTTGACAGAAATAGGCGCTCAGCATTCTGTCATAAATGCATGAACACCAAGATTCATAGTGTCTGTATATGTCTGTAGTTAAAATTCTCTGCAGTTATCAGTTACTAATCTCCAAATTATTATGCACCAAATTCCAGTGTAAACACTTTAAAATTTGAATGATTCAGGTAGCTCAGAACATTTCCATGTATGGTTACAGCAAAGAAACAAATTGATATGTTCAAGCAATTAAATCAATATTTTTGTCTTTGATTATCTGTTCTCCTGAGTGCATTTCTACAATACCGATATTAGCTTAAAGCCCCTTAGCTGCTGACACAAAAGCAAAGCTCATTACATTTTAAGGAGCCAAATATTTCACCTTGGTTGTGACAGTGCTTTGTTAAAATAACAATTTTTTTCTTAAATATATTTCCATATATCGTTAATATATTTAAACTAACTAAGAATCAAATGCTCCAAAGCTATTATGAAAATTTGCCACTTTTATAAATTCCTTCTGCCTGGGGAAAAAAATGAAATAGAGAGCTCTTTTGTTGGGAAGGGGACAGAATATTTATTCAGTAAAAACAACCAAAACCCCCCAAGGAACTGAGAGCTTTATTGGAAATGACACCAAATACTGCTGAACTAGGAGAAAGTATTACTCATTCAAACTAGGTGCCCAAAAATAGAGTTGGCCCTGATAAAGCTAGGCATTAAAATATGCAGAAGTACATATGGTTTATGGCTATTTTTGAAAGCCATAAGAAATAATCATCTCAGAACTGCAGAGCTGGAAGGGACCCTATGGGTCATCAACCCCATCCCCTGTCAAGGAAGCCTAGTGGGGAACTGAACGTCCAATCTCTGGCTCCACAACCAGATACCTAAACTACTGAGTTATCCAGCAGTTCAGTCCAGTGGTATAATTCAACAGAGCATTGTTCCATAATTCAATTAAGCATCTAGCACTCAAGTATAATAGAACATGTTACAAAAGTCATATCAGTATTGATATTAAATTGATTTCTCTCATAATATACATCAAGGTCTTCTAATGCATCTGTTAAGAAATGTTCTGCCATCTGAAAACTGTCTAAATGAGCAGCAAGTGTGAGATTATCAGCATAAATAAAACTTTTTGTGTTTCCATTGATCATTGGTTTAAAAAAAAAAATAGGAATCAGTATGACCATTCTTTTGAGTCCTCTTAGGATCCTGGGAGAGTCAAGACTTTTACTAAATACATTAAGCAATCACTTATTATTATACCAAAATTATTTTATCTGTTCTATGTAGATGTCACCAGATTCCCCATGTGGTGTAGT